TGGTGGGTTTGGCATCCTTTTGGTGTCATGACTAGTGTGTTTTCCATTATCCTTTTGGTAATGGACTCCTTACATCCTTTTGGTGTCGGGTTTGCTTGTTTCGCTCCATCATCCTTTTGGTGATGGGTCTAACATCCTTTCGGTGTTATGACTAGTGTTTCTGCTCCATAATCCTTTTGGTGATGGGTCTGGCATCCTTTTGGTGTCATGACTAGCGTGTTTTCCATTATCCTTTTGGTAATGGACTCCTTACATTCTTTTGGTGTAGGGTTGATTCTGTTTCGCTCCATCATCCTTTTGATGATGGGTCTGACATCCTTTTGGTGTTATGACTAGCATTTTCGCTCCATCATCCTTTTGGTGCTGGGTCTGACATCCTTTTGGTGTCACGACTAGCGTTTGTTCTCCACTATCCTTTTGGTAATGGATCCTCTACATCCTTTTCGTGTTAGGTTTGCGTTTCTGCTCCATCATCCTTTTGGTGTCATAACTAGCGTGTTTTCCATTATCCATTTGGTAATGGACTCCTTACATCCTTTTGGTGTAGGGTTGATTCTGTTTCGCTCCATCATCCTTTTGGTGATGGGTCTAACATCCTTTTGGTGTTATGACTAGTGTTTTCGCTCCATCATCCTTTTGGTGGTGGGTCTGACATCCTTTTGGTGTCATGACTAGCATTTGTTCTCCATTATCCTTTTGGTAATGGATCCCCTATATCTTTTTGGTGTTAGGGTTGCATTTCCGCTCCATCATCCTTTTGGTGATTGGTCTGGCATCCTTTTGGTGTCATGACTAGCGTGTTTTCCATTATTCTTTTGGTAATGGACTCCTTACATCCTTTTGGTGTAGGGCTGATTCTGTTTCGCTCCATCATCCTTTCGGTGATGGGTCTAACATCCTTTTGGTGTTATGACTAGCGTTTTCGCTCAATCATCCTTTTGGTGATGGGTCTGACATCCTTTTGGTGTCACAACTAGCATTTGTTCTCCATTATCCTTTTGGTAACGGACTACTTACATTCTTTTGGTGTAGGGTTGATTCTGTTTCGCTCCATCATCCTTTCGGTGATGGGTCTAACATCCTTTTGGTGTTATGACTAGCGTTTTCGCTCCATCATCCTTTTGGTGTTGGGTCTTACATCGTTTTGGTGTCACGACTAGCGTTTGTTTTCCATTATCCTTTTGGTAATGGATCCTCTACATCCTTTTGGTGTTAGGTTTGTGTTTCTGCTCCATCATCCTTTTGGTGTCATGACTAGCGTGTTTTCCATTATCCATTTGGTAATGGACTCCTTACATCCTTTTGGTGTAGGGTTGATTCTGTTTCGCTCCATCATCCTTTTGGTGATGGGTCTAACATCCTTTTGGTTTTATGACTAGTGTTTTCGCTCCATCATCCTTTTGGTGGTGGGTCTGACATCCTTTTGGTGTTACGACTAGCGTTTGTTCTCCATTATCCTTTTGGTAATGGATCCCCTATATCCTTTTGGTGTTAGGGTTGCGTTTCCGCTCCATCATCCTTTTGGTGATTGGTCTGGCATTCTTTTGGTGCCATGACTAGCGTGTTTTCCATTATTCTTTTGGTAATGGACTCCTTACATCCTTTTGGTGTAGGGTTGATTCTGTTTCGCTCCATCATCCTTTCGGTGATGGGTCTAGCATCCTTTTGGTGTTATGACTAGCGTTTTCGCTCAATCATCCTTTTGGTGATGGGTCTGACATCCTTTTGGTGTCACGACTAGCGTTTGTTCTCCATTATCCTTTTGGTAATGGATCCCCTACATCCTTTTGGTGTTAGGGTTGCATTTCTGCTCCATCATCCTTTTGGTGATGGGTCTGGCATCCTTTTGGTGTCATGACTAGCGTGTTTTCCATTATCCTTTTAGTAATGGACTCCTTACATCCTTTTGGTGTAGGGTTGATTCTGTTCCGCTCCATCGTCCTTTCGGTGATGGGTCTAACATCCTTTTGGTGTTATGACTAGCGTTTCCGCTCCATCATTCTTTTGGGTGATGGGTCTGACATCCTTTTGGTGTCACGACTAGCGTTTGTTCTCCATTATCCTTTTGGTAATGGATCCCCTACATCCTTTTGGTGTTAGGGTTGCGTTTCCGCTCCATCATCCAAAAGGATGCCACATCTCACAACCAACCCATTTTTGAAAAACCGCGTCCGATAATTATATTAAAAAAATCTGATAGACTTTTTACTTATCCAAAGAAAATAGATGTACTTTTATTGGTTTTTATTTTATTTTAAACTAGCGTTCAGACGATGTTTGCTTTTTTAATATACTTGAAAAAATATAAATTATATTTTTTTTATTTAATATAATTTTAAATAAAAGCTTAGAACCCTAAATTAACATGTATAATTTTAATATAATTTTTTAATATGCACGAATTGAAGATACTTCAATTGTTGTACATCTTGATTATTGTTAATGTTCTCCTAAGCCTTAAATTAAATAAATTGGAGAAAAAAAACTTAGAACCCTAAATTAACATGTATAAAACGACGATAGAGAAGAGAAAAGAGAGATTTATCGATTGTTGTTGTTGAGGTTGTGACTCGGTTTGAGCTTCTGCGGCCATGATCGGAAAATTGATCGATGATGATTTATGGTTTCGGTTTCAGGGAAAATTGGGGAATGATAAAATGGTGAGGTTGGATTGGGTTTTATATGAAAGGATAAATTATGTCGTGGGAATAGGCGCAAATTTAGGGTAAGGGAAAAAAACGAAGGGTTACACTAAGAAAGCGAAAGAAAAAACGTGTATATTTTCTTACTATGCTAAACAAAGACTTATGTTTTTTCTTCTTGGTTAAGTTATTAGAATATCATTCAATAATACCTTCGTTTTTTTTAATGGAATTTATTTAGACAAGTTATTTTCGTTTTCTATTAATAACCTCACAATATTTCTTAACAAAAGTGGATGACTAGCAAAGCAACAATATAATTTAAATTTTGAATTTTATAATAATTTTAAAATTATAATTTTAAAATATGAAACTATATTGAATTGAAATAATGCAAAATATTAAAAAATAGAATTAGAATTTATTATACACCTATAAATGTCGGGGGTCACAAATGAGTGGCATGTCATGTTTAGGTTCGTCTTATTTAAGCTAATTCAATAGCGGGACAAATCAACTTAGAAATTTGAGTTGAAAAGTGAAGTTAATCCTGTTTACTAATGAGTATCATTAAGAGACAAACAAAATATATTTTTTTAACAATGCATAATAAAACTTCAATAAGTTTTAATAATCTTAATGTCAATGTTATATTCTTCAACATAAACAAAATAAAAATATAACATAAAAAAATAACTAAAAAGTAACACACTAAAACACTAAAATAATCTACTTGGTTCAACCATGTTATAGCATTAATATCACAATAACAAAAAACCAACATGGACAATCTAGTTGAGGACATTCTAAGGCACAAATAAGCAAAATAAACTAGCACAAGTTAAACAAATACAACTAAGAAGTAATAGCGAAAAACAAATTCTAAAGGTTCCATGACAAATATTTCATTAATCATCTTCTATGTCGTAAACATATGAAACTTTGCAGGGCCGACCTAATAAATCTGAAGGTCTCGTTTTAAGTAAAAAATGGACCCAATTTTTTTTAAAAAAAGTGCAATTAAAATAATTGAAAACGACATATAAAATTATAATTATATATTAATTAAAAATAAATTTAATTATAATTATTTTGACATTTAATTCATTTCATTTTTTTATATATTGAGTTTTTATTATAGTATTTTTTATATCTATTAATATTAATGAAAAAAATTACATCTTCTAAAATTTGGGACTCTTTAATATTTGGGATATGTGCGGTAGAGCTTGCTGCTCTTACGTAGGACCGCCCCTGAAGCTTTGGTTGATGTCACAACAATCGGCTAAAACCATCCACCATTCCTCTTCTCATCGTCACTCACTACAACTGCATAAAATAAAATGTAAAAAAACTCACAATCATATATCTTATGTAGCCAAACAAACCACATAAAAGTGAAATAAAACAATTAAAAAGCATGATTAAATATGATTATATACCTGAACTATTAACACCGTGAAGCCAATAACAATTGCAAATCAAAGCCTCCACATTTTTTGATAATAAATGACCTTTATATAGAATGAACATGAAGAGTATATAACCTATCGAAAATTAAGAAACAAAATTCTGTTTTCAGAAACAAAAATTAAGCTTGTTCATCCTCTCGAAAATCATCCTTCCAAATGTACCCTAAGAGTATATAACCTATCGAACAGAAGACAAATGAAACAAAAGCCCCAAATTCAAAGTGCATTATACCCACATAATAATGTCAACATGTCATCACCAAATTGTTTCCTCCATTGTAGCATGTCAGCCACATATGCTATGCTTTTTCAATATCAAATTTCCTTGCTTTTAAAAATAAATATCAACAACAAAATCCAGTGCAAAGATTCTTTGAAGGTACCTTGAGATGAGTGAATATTACTTTGTTCACAGTAACCAGAAACTCTTTGCTTGAAACCGAAACCAGGACCCACAAGTAGATCTCAATCTTCTTCTTTATTTGAAATCAGACAAGAGAGAAGAAAGTAGTTTTAGTTCTGAAATGTGAGAGGGACGAATAGATCTTCATCTTCTTATTGGTTTGAATCTCAGACCACAGCCCACACCCAAATCTCTGTCTTTTTCAGTTGGAGTTGAAATTGGAACCATGACCCATAAGCATATCACCATCTTCTTCTTTGCATAATGTGATTTTAAGAATAAATATTGAGAAGAAGAGGAAGAAAGAAGAAAAAAATAGAGAAAATGGAGAAAGAGATAGAGAGAGGATACAAGAAAGAGAAAGAATTCTGAGAGAGCAGAAAGAGAACCGAAACCACTGTAATAAAAGTAAAACCACCCTAAACAAATTGAAAATTTTGAAATAGTAACAATAATGACAATGAAAATGCGGAAGAAAAAAAGTCACCTTAAAGTTGGGGGAATGGATTGGGTTAGGTTAAAGAGGTAAATAGTAGAATCGGAATCGGCATTGGAATTAAGGAAATTAAGAATGGAATGGAGAGCACAGAGACGGAGGAACGAGAATTCGGCGCGTGCGTCTGGGAGACCGGCGGTGAGAGCGGGAGTAACTTCCCGATATACCCTTTGTTGATGAAGTAAATTCACGAGCTCCACCATGGAAGCATTTGGATCTGATGATCCAGTTGGATTTTGTTTCTCTGTTTCGATCCCTTCACTCCAGAGTGGTTTCTTCAAATACATGATTTGGATTTTGTTAGGGTTAGTGATGAGTCATGGTTGAAATTGAATTGGGGCAAATTGGGGTGACAGATATGGTTTTTGAAGAGTGTCAGGAAGAATAATGGCAAAAATTAATTCGCAAGCTGAAATCGAGTTGTTAACCATATCTTACGAAAAAGTTCTAGTACTAACTCAAGAATCTACATCGAGCATTTTTAGTTTGAAAGATTAAATGTTAAAATTGAAAGTAAATTTATTCGCAAAGTTTTTTTTTTTTTGAAAAAAAGGGTTTAAATTTTAAAGAGATTTTTTAAATGAAAATTAAAGGGGTTTTTAGTTTACTTTATAAAACTTTAATTTTATTTTTAATTATAAAAGGCATTAATTTTAAGAAAAGGTTTTAATTATTTTAATAAATAAAAAAATTTGTTTAATTTTAAATTTAGGTTTTTTTGTTTTTAAAATGGTTTAAATTCAAATTTTATGCTTTCTTTTATTTTAAAAAGTGAAGTTAAATTTTTTAAAATGTTTTTAATTTTAAAACCAACTATCTTAATTTTAAGCTATGGTTTTAACTTTTAAAAAAAGGACTTAAATGCAAGGTTTTTTTAAAGAATGGTTTTTTGTATTATGATTTCTTAAGAATTTATCACTAATTATTAAAAGAAATATTTACTTAGAAGTTATTAAGAAAATATTAATTATTAATTAATGATTATAAGTTATAAAAATAAATTTAATTAAAAGTCATTAACACTACTTAATGAGTAATTAATAAACAATTAAACAAATAAATAAATAAATAAAAATGGAAAAGGGAAAAAAAGCAATAGAAATAGATAAGAGGGAAGGGGGCAGATATTCTGCTGAATAGGTTTCTAGGGTTTTTTGAAAACCCTCTTCCTCTTCTTCCCCAATGCATGTCGCCGCCATGGTTGATCCACTTCGAAGCTTTTACCATTTTTTCTTTCGTTTCTCCTTGCAGAGCTTTTTCATCTCTTCATACCTGAGACAAAATAAAGACAAACCAACCGTTACTGCCTTAACCTTACGTTTTAGGTTTTTGATGACGGTGTTTCAATGGTGCGATGGTGGTGTTCTTGGCCGGTGTTCACGTCCTCCTTTTCTGATACTTGATGATGATTTTTATATTGTTATTTCTTATTGCTGGGTCTGGATGATGAGTTTATTGCTATCAACTTGTGGCTGATTTTGTGGCTTTTTTTATGGAACTTTTGTAGCGCTTCAGAACGTTGGTTGTTGTTTATGCTGGATGCGAAAATGTTGGAGAAGTTGACGGATTCATGGTGGCTGGGAGGATTTTTCGTGATTGTTGGGCTGATTTGTTGCATTTTTCTCAGGAATTGGTGATTTGTTTTGATGAATTTGATTGTTGCGTTTTGAGTTGTTTGAACTGTTACGCCTCTCTTTTTTTCAGGAAAGTTGTTTGGTTGCAACCTTGACGATGATTCTTTGTTGCTGTTATGTTGGCATTTTCCGGAAATTGGTTGTTGTGAATTTTTTCAGGGATTTGATTTAGATCCGTTTTAGGGCCCTAATTCTTTTGGAATCTGTTTGTGACTCGTTTGGCTAAAAATTAATTTTTTTGAATAAGTGCTTTTTTCAAAAGCACTTTTCAAATAATCACTTTTCCATAAGTACTTTTTGAATAATTATTTTTTAAGAAATCATTTTTCTTTCTCTTTTGGAACAAAAAGAACAGTTGTTGCCTGATTTGCCGGAGTCGAGAAATTGAGTCGGGAGCTGGCGACGGAGTATTCCGTTACCCTCCCGACGTACCCAATGATGACAATTGAGCTGAGGGTACCGTCCGTAAAACACCACTTCCTAACCATTATGATTGCTTGTTTGTTATTGTCTTGCATGTTCGAAGAAAAAGTCGGAAACTCGAAGAGTCGGAAGCGGAAGACCTTTTAGGACAATATTAGGAAATTTAGGAATAAAAAATGTAATTTAGATTCCTTTGTAATAATTTTATAATTTCCTTTGTAATAACTTTATAGTTTTCTTTGTAAATAAATAACTAAATAAAAAAATATAATTCAATATATAAATTCAATTTCTTTTTATTTTCCGATCGTATTCCACCATTTGAATTAAACCGACTAATTCACCCGATTAAACTTTAACGAATAATTTTCAGTAATTAAAGTTCATCCGACTAATTTTATTGGATTAATTCACTAGACCATCCCTCGGATTAAGCTTTAAACAATTAAATCCAAATATTTGACTTAATCTGATTAAATTCCTTCAGATACGAATAAATTCACCCCACTCAATTCATCAGCTTAAATCCACACACATAAACTCATCTGATTCCGACTGATCTGATTAAATTCACGTGACCAAACTTCTTCCGATTAACTTTATCCAAACAAATCAAACTGATTAAATTCCTTTAACAAGATTTATTAGATTAACTGTGGCGTTCCAATTCCGCCTTTGACCAATAAACCCTCTTGTACGGTTCAAACCTGACATAACGGCTGAGTTCCAACAAACCCTCTGGAAAGTCGACTTGTATCCGATATTAACGGTGAATGTGGCAATGTACCGATAAACACAGAAACTTCAGTTAATAGCTGAACTAATTGTCTTTTGTATTGAAAATTCGAAATGCATCTTGATTGCTTTAACTCGGCAACCTGAGTCAGCTCGACTACCAGTCTTGATCAAAACAATAGTTGCTCATTATAAATTCACACTTGAACCAAAATTCCACTATTTTCTTCCAAAATCGACCGATAACCAGCAGAAAGCAGGAAAACGCGCGTCGGTTAAAGTAACTTCCGCAAAGCCGATTCTCGCACCATTTTAACTTGAATCTACTGATACCTTGACATATTCAACCCCCTATAGTTATGGAATCAAAAAGTATCTCTGAAATATGCTTGACGACTGAAATTCGGCCCTTGAATAGAATGCATTGTATTACGAGGAATCTGACGTCAAAACCGCCGTAAAATTCAATTCATCTTCCAATAAATCATAGGACGTGGATAGAGAAACCCTAATCACTTGAGGAATTCCTGACGACAACTCAACTTCCTAAATTATCAGCAGGCTGCAAATTAATGACCATTTTGCCCTTCGTCAGTTAAAGAGGGCACAATGTGATTTTTCCTACAAAACCAACAGACTACACAAACCTGTTAGTGATTAGTTAAATGCAATGCAAAAAAATGAGATGGCATGCGAAATGAGTCGACTAATCTAAGGGAAAAATTTGAGGTATTACAAAAGGCACACATGGATAATCATGAAAAATTATACTCCCCATACCTTAATCGATTCAAAGCCTTCACAAATTCTTCAGGGAATCTTCTGAAGCTTTTGCCTCCAATTCTCCATCCTCAAAGCTCTGACCTCAATTCTCTTCACGGTTAACAAAATGAATCCTAATCTCTTCATAATTCTATTTTGTCAAACCTAGTCTTGGCCTCATAATTTAGGCTTTTCCCCTATTACCCTTACTAACTCCTCCAAATGCCTAAATTACCCTTATTTCACTTATATTCATTTTAATTAATAATAATATTAATATTCTCATATTGTATACTATTAATTAAATAAATAACCCAAAAATGCACACTTTTCCAATAATCCACCAAACTACCGACAATCACTGGAAAATGAATATTCTCAATTAAATAAATAAATTAAAATATTCCAATTAAATTTTGGGTGTTACATCCACGACCTCTGGGTCTTTTCCGGCAACCTATACTTCGCAAAAAGAAACAATAAACCGGTTTAAATGGTTAGCTATGCAGAGGTGATTAGCCTAGATGATATGTAAATGATCAATGAATTAAAGGGTAAAATTTGGGGTACGACAGACTTCATTATAACACTAAAATGACCATTGACGTTGCCGCTGGCGATGCTCTATGCTCTCATCGAGGATATGGCTCAAAACCAGTGTCAATGGGGGATAAAATAAGCAACGGTGGAGAAGAAAGAAGCTCAAGGAGGAATACATGAGATAGGTTCTATAGACATGATACAAGCCAAAATGGACGTTTTGGCCCTTAAGGTCGAACATATGTATGCAAACTCAACTATTGCAGAAGCAGTCTCGACGAAATGCGAACTATGTGGAACCACAAGACACCAATCAGCAGAGTGCAATCTGTTGAATGAAACTCATTCAGATCAGGTCAACTATGCCCAAGGGGATCCCATTTTCAAATACCTACAACCCTGGATGGAGGAATCATCCAAACTTTTCCTACAAAAACAATAACTCTAATCAAAACTATGCGCCTCCAAAACCACCCGGTTTTCAAGCCCAGAGACAAAACCCAACTATGCAAGTTGTACCGCCCAAGCCAAACCTTGAGAAGATCATGGAAAATTTCATTTCGGCTCAAACCCAGCAAAATAAAGAATTCCTAAACCAGAACATTCATGTAAATGAAATGATTACCCAATTAGGAACTAAGGTAGACCAAATAGTCACCCATAATAAGATGCTTGAAACCCATATCTCTCAAGTAGCTCTCAAACAAGCTTCCGGAACCACACCCGGAGGACAATTTCCTAGACAACCTCAACAAAACCCCTGAGGGCAAGCCAATGCAATTACCTTACGAAGTGGGACCTCTTACGATGAATCAGTTAACCTTGCATTGAGTGAACCCAAAACTTATAAGAAAAAAATTGTACCCACAGATGAAGTAGAGGAACCAATAGAATCTGGAAAATAAAAAAACCAAGATAAAGGGGAAACTATAGAAAAAACTAATGAACCACCCTCGTCATACAAACCTCTTATACCCTATCCACAAAGACTAAAACAGACCAAGATCAATAATCAATATCAGAAATTCATTAAAGTCATAGAGAAACTTCATATGAAGATCCCTTTCATAGAAGCCATCACCCAGATACCATCCTATGCAAAGTTCGTCAAAGACATCCTTACTAATAAACGTAGACTTGATGATCGAAAACCTTTGGAATGCAATTCCATTTCCAAAAATAAACTTGCCAAA